ATCTAGAACTAGAAATACCATTTGACCCAGTAATCCCATTACTGGGTATATACCCAAAGGATTATAAATCCTGCTGCTATAAAGACAGATGCATGCATATGTTTATTGCAGCGCTATTCACAATAGCAAAGACTTGGAACCAAACCAAATGTCCATCAATGATAGACTGAATTAAGAAAATGTGGCACACATACACCATGGAATTCTAGGCAGCTATAAAAAAGGATGAGTTCATGTCCTTTGCAGGGACATGGATGAAGCTGGAGACTGTCATTCTGAGCAAACTATCACAAGGAGAGAAAACCAAACACTGCATGTTCTCACTCAGAGGTGGGAATTGTACAATGAGAACACTTGGACACAGGGCGGGAAACATCACATATGGGGGCCTGTCTGGGGTGGGGGGGGATGGAGAGGGATAGCATTAGAAGAAATACCTAATGTAAATGACGAGTTAATGGGTGCAGCAAACCAACATAGGACATGTATACCTATGTAACAAACCTGCACATTGTGCACATGTACCCTAGAAATTAAAGTATAATAATAATAATAGTAATAAATCTCACCTTTCTCCCAAATATGCAGAAGAAACAGTGTCTCTGAAACTTTGATTTGCATGGACATCAACAGAGGGTGTAGCTAGAGCCCAAGTGTGTGACAGTCAGATGAAAGTGGCCCTTACCTGGCAAAGCCAAGTGGCTTAGTGTGGGGCAGGTTCATTCAAGAACTTTCTCTACTTCTCTCCCCAGATCCTCCTCAGGATCAAGGTCAGCGCTGTCCCAGAACGTTTAAAGGCAGAGAGAAGAATTGCCTTATAGGGCTAACATGTTTTCCCAAAATCTCCAACTTTTTTTTTCTTGTTTAGCCATTGTACAAAATTGGGGAAATGTACAACTTCTGGGTAGACTCTGCATAGTGGAGAAAAGGCTTGAGAGGCACAAAGGCTGGGCTTTACAATCGCTACCCCTCACTCCATCATCCTTATCTATGCATTTCCCTGGTAACCCCATCCACAGCCTGATACCTTCCCCACTGTCATTTCTGCTGCATTACAGACACAGACTTGCAAATAGCTATGATTGTGACTGAGTTTCTTCGTGACACCTGACCCTTTCTCATGCTGCAAGGAAAGCTTGCTGGGAGGAGCCTGGAATCTGGAATGAAGCCAGAGGGCAAGGCTTACAGGGGTCATTTAAGTGCTGCAACTCAGAGATTCACTCAGAAGACTGGACACAATTCCGAAGGTCGCCCAGAGGGAGAGAACAATGTCATTCCTAACTGTGAGTTGAAAAGGCACAGCCTTCAATAATCTCACGTCACACAAACCAAGAAAGAAATGGGGTATTTTATGAGATGAAAATATGAGCATTCCTACTGTGAATGCTTTACTGAGAGTTCTGGGTGTGTGGAAGAGAAACACTGAGGCTAGGTATCTGAGATGCTTGTACCATGTGGGGTGTGGATCCTGGACCAGTGTAACCCTGTGTGAGCATGAGGTGGTGTCTGATGAGAGTGAACTCTGCTGAGATGATATGACTTTAGGTGGGAGGTGGATGGCCCACCAGGTCAAGCAGGTGTGTGTATCAGTGTAAGGGGTGATTGTGCTTTGTCTTCCCCTTTGTGATATGAGTGTGTGTTTGTGCACAGCCAGACCAGTGCATGACCATCTTCATGCATACAGTGAACAGGTGTGTGTGACTCAGTGAGTGGCATGGCTCTGTGTGACTGTGGATGTGTGTGCTGGGATGTGACTGGGTATTGAAGGGAAAACATACGTGTGGCCTTCTGTGCATGTGAAGGTTCCTCCCCACACAGCAGCATCTCTGATGAAGGAACTGTGTGTCTTTTCATGTGTGGCAATGTGAATCCCAGATGGCTTAACTGGTGGGGATCTTGGAGATTGTGAGTTACCAAGGACTTGTTTCAGATCACTTGTGAGAGTGGAATGTATGGTCAGTAGATGTCTCTTCCCAGTAAGAGTGGGGAAGAGGAATGGAGACTATAGGGGTGATGGTTCCTCAGGTGGGGTCTGCACAGAGTGACCACTGGCTCTTGCCTCCCAGGCTCAGCTTCCCTGTCTCCAGCCTATCCTGTACTTTTCATTGTGAGACAGGAGGTTTGCTAGAGAAGGACATTAGAGGCCATGGTTTCAGAGACTGAATCATGTAAAATACCCACTGTAAGCTCTGTCTCAGCTGAGTCTAAACTTGTTCCTCCACCCATGAAGGAACAGTTTAGTCTCAGTTCAGACAGAGCTTACAGTGGATATTAATCAACAAAGCAGCTGGGTTCACTGGCTCATGGCCATCATCCCACCAATTTGAGAGGCAAAGATGAGAGGAGAACTTGAGGCCAGAAGTTTGAGACTGGTCTGGGTATCATAGTGAGACCCTTTCTTTAAAAAACTTTAAATATCAGACTGTCAGAGGGGCAGGCACCTTTCGCCCCAGCTACACAAGAGGGGGCAGATGTGTCAGGATCACTGCAGCCCAGTAGTTCGACGTTTCATTGAGCTATTATCGCACCACTGCATGTCAGCCTGGGCAACAGAGCAAGACCCTATCTCAAAAATACAGAAAAATCATCCACCACTTGTAGTCGTGGCAGAAATCAATCGTTCCCTCCAGTTATGTCTCTGACCCACAGGCTTCTTTTGTGCAAGTACTGGGGCTGTGCTCTCAGTAATGTGTGCCCCTTCTTGGAAGGACGTCCATTGCCCTTGATGATCGTGATGCATGTGCCTCCCACACACAGGGGTTTCCTGTTCTTTCATCATTTCTCTCTCTTTCAACAAGTGTTGTTTCTCACTGGAGTGAATTTCTAAATTCTTACATCCTCAAGTCTTGTTTTCATTTTCAGAGTTGAAAATGAAGGCAGGTCAGTGTCTCAGGAGGACTCCCCGGTTCTGTTAAGTCACCACTAACAGGCCCTACCCATGCCAGGGATTAGGGGAAAAGGTTTACATATATTAACTGCTCTATTATAAAGAATTTCTTACAAAGCAGGAATTCGTGATAATCCTCTTTGTTTTAGGGAAACTGAGGAAGTCAAGTAACCGATCTAAGATTGCACGGCTAGTAAAAGGCAGAATGAGGACCGGAATCCAGGCATCTTGGCTCCTGAACCCTTGCTCTTACCTATGGGTCCACCATATCTTCAGGAACACGGGGTCCTGATGTGGTAGGGTGAAAGGGGAGAGTCCACAGAGTCTTCCCTGTGATCTCTAACCTCCTGCACTATGGGAATATGTTACAGGAGGGGAGACTGCGCCTGACCCCTGCACCTCTCACTTACTCTCAATACTCTGGCAGGTGCCATACAAACTGCCTGTGTCTTTGTCTGTTGGTTCCTGCGTGATAATCAAAGGGACACCGATCGACTCTTCTGTGTGAGTACTCCATGGACCAATGGAGAGGGTGGAGGAGAAAGGAGTATATTTGCTAACAGTTCGACCTTATGTGTGGGTGATGTGGAAATGTTCAGTTGGCAGGATGGAGGCCCCATGCAGGTGCAGGTCCTGGAGACCCTCCAGCATCAGGCATGAAATCTGCAGCAACTACCTGTGGGCCAGTCACGGGGTCTAGCGGAGGAGGACACTCAGTGGGTTGGGGCTGTGGCTCTTCATCAAGGGGCATAGAATTTTCAGGGAATGAACAAGTCATAGGCCCAGGTCAGTGGCTGTGACTCAGTTTTCATCTGGGGATGAGGAGCACAGCATCTCCCTGCTGGGGGCACGAGGAGCTTAAGCATCCCCACAGGGATCAGGCCTGCAGTATCATCGGGGAGACTTTTTCATTGGGTAAAGGGGGGAAGGGATTTGTGTATGTGTCAAGTGTGTGTCTGCACAATGAAGGAACTTGTCCAACATGCTGTGTGCTTTGCCCTCAGCAATGAACCACAGCTGCAGGTGGATTTCTACACTGAGATGAATGAGGAGTCAGAAATTGCCTTCCATTTGCGAGTGCACTTAGGCCGTCGTGTGGTCATGAACAGTCGTGAATTTGGGATATGGATGTTGGAGGAGAATTTACACTATGTGCCCTTTGAGGATGGCAAACCATTTGACCTGCGCATCTATGTGTGTCGCAATGAGTATGAGGTGAGCACCCCTGGAGCTCCTAGCACCCAGGCTCTTTGGGATCCCAGAGCAAGAGGCAGCTCTCATTGACCTGGCCTCACCAGTCCCTCAGGGCCCATCTCCCATAACTACCCCTGCCCCAGGTTTTCATCACAGAGCACCCTCTGCTTGCACTGCCGTCCTCAGCTCTTTCCCAAATCTGACCAAGGTCAAGGTCGGCTCACCTTCCATTTCCCCAATAGTGGAGAATCTCCTCTGTCTTTTCACATAGTGCTCATTTCTACGTATGCCAGTATTTAAATTTTCATGTAGCT